CAGTCTTTGCCATCGAAAATCATATGGAAATCCAGTGAGAGGGTACTGACACATGAACTGTTACAATAAAATCTAGCAAGTACCATGGTGGAGCTTTGCACAGAATACACAGAAGCTAGTCAGCCAGTCTACCCTAGGTTAAAACCTACAAGAGAAACCTAATTAAAGTATGAGGACACCTGGAAACATTTTAAGAAAATAAAAATTAATCATTGTCATAAATTCTGTGTAATTAATAGTTCTAAGAGCTGCTAGATCATGAGTAATGAGCTCAGCTTTTATACTAAACCCAGGTTAGAAACTGGTCATGCCTTATATTAACCTGCGAGTAACCATCTCTATCAACTAATGAAAGCTTTTTGATTAATCTGTCTCTGAATTTCTGCAACTATGGCTTAGACATTAAAGACCCTGCCACCCACAACCAGCATAAATGGAGCCTTAAAAACTCCATGGTGGAGTCAGGAACTCCCAGCAAGGAGGGCAGAGGTGCAAGTGCCGCCCTGCAGAGTCAGCCGTTAAGAGTCGGTATCCCCTACCTGTGTTTGCACAACGAGTGTAAACAAGCAGGCAGGCTACCTGCCAGTTAAAGTAACTTACTACTGCTCAGGAACCTAAAAGAACACTTCAAAGATGACAAGAGACGCTACTAAACTCAGAGTATTAAAAAACAAAAGTTCATAGAGAAGATAGAAGCAATCTACAAATTAAATAAACTGGAAAACGCCATACTATTGCAGCTGGATGAGTGTTGGAGCAACTGAGATTAGAAGTTCCAAAGATTCATCCGGGGGCCTTGTTCTGTCCCAAAGAGTTTTTTTTTTTTCTTTTTCTAGACATATGCTCTGTTTTGCACAGTTTACTGAAACTGCTGACTAAGGGGAGCATTGGGGCTTGTGGGCCACCAAAAATGGCTTCAGGATGAAGAGAATATGTGCCTTTAGGCAAGATTTGGTTTGGAGTAATGATAGAAGGAAAAAAAAAAACATGCAGGAAGATTGTAAAAATCAGATCATTGTAAAGACAGGCAGAAGTGGTGTTTTGCCAAAGACATTACAACTATCAACATCCATGTATTACTGTTCATCAATAAATACTAACCCATTAAACTTTTTAACTCTATTTTTATGAAAATGTGAAGATAAAATCCTATGACAAATGGCAAAATTAGAATAAATTCTTAGGTTATTTTCTCCAAACCATTATAAACAGAAGGATTCAGGGTAATAATGAGTAAATCCAGCTACACAGTGCTGGAATATCAATTTTTTTAAGTGGGATAACTATATCAAACAAATCGTAAAATTAAACTATTGGTAAAAAGTTAGAGCTAATGGACTAACCTCAAAGCATATTAGAATAAATGGTGAAAATGATTTTTATGAATTAATAAACATAACATTTTAAATGGAGTTCAAATTGAGTTCATCTTGAATTTTATGAGTCATTAAACCATATGGCATCTTCTATTAGCTTAAACTCTGAAGATCTTAGTGTAAAAACCTGAAAGCAAGAGAAATAATGCAAATATGAGACTGGAAAGGGAAATCATTTTTTTTAACTCTTGTAGATATTAGAAGAAATTTGTCAGAAAAATAACTGGGGACAGCCAGTGTACCAGCTGCACTCTGCCATTGGACAAGATCAAAGGCAACTCTTCTTATACAAAATCACCATCCCTGCCCTGGCGAGCCAGAATCCCGCAATGTACGTCGCTTCTCCAAATCCCTAATCGTTTCAATTTTAGAATAAGAGGCTCTTGAAATTCACTGTACTTTATCACTATCTAAATAAGATAAATATTTAAGTCTACTAGGTACTCACTTTTCATTAAATGTAAACACTGAGATGTGCCGCTGAGATATGCAGGCCAACTATGAGAGTAGTATCTCCAAGTCCTCAAGTTTTAAATAGACAGTGAAGACTGTGTAGTATAACCAACCAGTGGAAAAGCACAGATATAAGATGTATAGAAAGGAAAACTACAGCCCAGTTTTATCTGTGTATTATTTTGGTTGAACCATATGAAATTACCATTTTATACATAACAACACCCATGCCCTGTCTTTTAAATTCTGGACCACAGATATAACCTGAGTGGTTATCACCTTCTAAATTTTACCTTGAGCCTGCATTTCTACATATTTTAGGAACCACCGTGTTTCCCGTGTATGTTAGAAAAGACTGGTGATGAGTTACAAGTATGCTCCAGAAATGTTATCACCCACCGATGTTCTGGGTCAATTCACAAATATTCCAGCATGCATATATAGTTAGAAGCTTTAAAAGCAAAGAGAATGAAGAATACCCACACACACAATTCCACTATCCAGTTATCCTAAAAAGCAAATAGTGCCTTAGGTTTCCACCCGTCTCAGCAGCACAAGTTTAAAATGTGTACCCTGACTGACTCTGCTTTCCAGCCATCCTTTCACACCTCCGAAGCTAAGTGCCTACGTGGATGAAGCCAAGACGTATGCAGCCGAGTACACCCTGCAGACCCTGGGCATCCCCACTGATGGAGCCGATGCCGCCACCACAGCTGCTGCTGCCGCGTTTCCAGGTATGGGAAAATTGTGCCAGAAATGGTACCCTGCAGAGTGTGTGGGAAACCCTTCTTGGGATCATGTACTCACAAAGTTGTCTGTGACCTCCACTACAATAAATCTGATTTCCACCACCTATCACCAAAAGGAATTTGCCCAATGAGTGAGCCATCAATCTATGAGGCATGAGAATAGAGCTTGGCAGCGGCCCTGGTGGGGGGGGACTAGTCTCAGCTCAGCTGTCAGCAGGTGTGTGATCTCAAATGAATCAATCTCTCTGCGCCTGGTTTGTTTTGATCTTTACTTTTAATAAGAGAGTTTAGAACTACCTATTAATAGCCGATGTTTATTTGAACTCTTACGATGTGCCAGGCACTCACCTGCCTCAGTAATGCTCAGGACACCACAAGAGCTAGGACCTATCATAATGCCTGTTGTACAGATGAAAAACCCCAATATTAGAAAGATTAAGTAATTTGGCCAACGTCAGTCAGCTTTTAAACAATCTTCTTAAGCAACTGGGACTCCCACCCCAATTCTAATCTTCAGTTCTACTGAATTCTTTTATTAAATTGCTTTCTGAAAGAAATGTGTGCATCAAATTCTTCTTATTTTAAGTCAAAAATTGTGTGTGTGAGAGACAGAAAGAGAGAGAGAGAGCCTTTCAATAAGTGGATAATCAGGGTCATTTTAATCTGTTCTATAATTTTGTTGTGGGACATCTGCTGATTACTTAAAGCCTATCTGTAGATCAACATGCCTTTGGGGTCACATTTAAAAGACTTTTCCCCATTTATTATGTACCCACAACAAATGCTAATAATTAAAAATGAATCCTCTAGAAATTAAAGAGGACCAGACAAAAAGTTTCTTTTAGAAATTTTCCCTCAGCAGTTCATCTGAGTAACTCCACTCTTTCTTAGTAATAAAAGTTTATGTCTTTCAAGGAAATTTGTCATTCTGATTTATTGTTGTGTTGGCACACCTCCCATAAGGCCAAATCAGAGAGTTCTGACTAGACCCAGGAACAGGACTTTCCTATCACTGATGAATTCCTCTATTGGGCATATGTAGGTATGAGAACTGCTGTATTCCTCACATCCGTATAACACCTGGGCTCGCTCTCATTTCCTTTTATTTCTCAGAACTTGCAAATAGGTCCTCCATTCTAGCAAGTGAGGCTGAGACTAATCACGTTTCACATGATGCGAGTGTGACCTTAATTCCAGCTTTGTCCCATGGAACAGGGAGGAGACGCATGATGTGCCCCTTCAAGGTTACCAAGGCAACAGCTATCACTGCCGAGGGCCAGGTCCCTCCTGGGCTCTGCTGGGGCCATCAGCTCCGTGCCTGCATTCTCTACACCAGCATGTTGACACATCCGTCTTCTGGAAACCTGTGCCAGGCTTCTCAGTTCTTGGAAAAAGTTGAGCCCCTGTCTTGCAGAAAGCTGCACCCCAAAGACACCTAATTAATGTACTTCAAAAATAAATGACTCACTGCCAGAAAAACTTTTAAAGTTTGCTTTCACTTTGGAAAGGATTTTTCTTCTACCCCAAAATGGTTTTTCTTCCCCTCATTTTATTTGTTCCTACAATAAATAAAAAATTATTTAGAGCATGAGAGTTATCTTGGGAATGCCTAAGAATTTGAGAGCATCTTTTATAACTTTGCTACGGAATCAAGCAAAGAACAATAGGCTCCAAGAGAAGAGTCTGTTTCAAACACAGATACTCTTGCACTTAAGAAATTAGCCAAATTGAAAAATAAAATTCAAAATCCCTAATGATAAGATTTATGCTACACACACACATACTCACACGTATTATTTTACTAACTCACATACTTTAGAAATACTGTTTCCAAATTTATGAAAGTAATTGTCAACACATTTCTCATAACCTTGGAAAATATACCAAACTTCACTAGTGCATTAGTCAGCATTTCTGCCCAAAGTGCATGAGCCGGGGAGTGGATTCAATTTTTAAAAAAAATAGTCTAGCCAGCTTCCCGCCACCACTTCCTGAGAAGCCACCAGAAAGAAATCAATGTGTCTGAGGCTGGGCAGACTTCCACAGTACATAAACCAAATGGGCTTGTTTAAAATGTCAGGTCCCCATTCATTGCTTAAGTATACCTTTCCCTTTTTCTTGTCACCTTTCGCAATTTGGGGATCATCTCAGAAATAACCAGGTTTTAGTCTAAAACATTAATGGGGAAATACTGCTTTTTGATAATAGCTATTATGTCCTTTTCTTCAAAAGTGAGTATTAATCAGCTAGACATCATACCAACGTGAAAGCACGTGATTATTCCCTCATCACTCAGAGCCCCTTGGTTCTCTGATAGTGAGGACAAGCACCTGGGCCTCCACGAGTGCCAAGACAGCTCGATGGTGGGGTGAGGTATTCTTTTCCCTGTCCAGTTAAGTCCAAATGTGGACACACTAGGTATTTGCTTTTATGGCGCTATATAGACACATGCTAAAACTTTCAGTATTTCTCCTACTGGTCCACCCAGTCCCTACAGTCTTCCTTGGGTAAAGGCAATGTTTTTAACATTCTATTTAGGTGAGCGTGAGGGTGCAACAGACCCACAGAACCCCTCGCCCATGCCTTGCAACCCATCAGTCGCTTCCCCTCCTTTATAAGTTCTGAGACCCTCTGAACAAGTTCTAAATATGATGCTTTAACCCAACTCAGCATCCTGTTAAGTTTGTTTCTTGGAATCTATCCCCAGTGGTCCCAATTTTCCAAGAATGAAATGATTCTGACATAGATGGCTTACCCCAATTCGAGGAACACTGTTCCCTAATCAATGAGTCCAGATATTATGTCCCCCAAGGGCACTTTTTAAAATGTATATATTAGCTTTTGGATTTAAGCAATATATTAAATTTTCATATTTCAAAAAGAAGAAGCCAAAAGGAAGCACATTCGAATCCCTTTCATGATGTTTTCTCTGCCTCCTTCTCCAGGCTACGGTCTCCCAAATGCACCTGCCTCCATGTCCGCAGCCCAACTCAAGCAGGCAGTGACCCTGGGACAAGACTTGGCAGCATATACGACGTATGAGGTCTACCCCACTTTTGCAGTGACTGCCCGAGGGGATGGCTATGGAACCTTCTGAAGACATCTTTCTTTTCATTTAAGAATGAAACACACAAAGCTCGATCTAGAAGAAATAAACCTCTCACTCAGTCCCTTAATGATCACAAGTAATACTTTCCCCAGAGTGATGCCTTTCTGGATATGGTATAGCTTATACTGATTGTAGAATTGTGATATGAGAACTTTATTCCTAATGAAATCAAATATTAGGAAGCCATTTGTCTAACAGAAAGCTAAAGAGCCATTTCCCCCTGAAAGTTGTTCTTCCAAGGTTCCTGAGTGTCTTGGGAGTATGTTTACATACCCTGACAGAGTGAAGAGAGATCTTTAGCCAGTAAGAGTTCAGGGGCTAAGCAGATCTGGGCAGCCAGTAACAACCAAAGGAGCCAAGTAAGTTCCAAAGTCTTAACCCCTAGCTCACAGCTGCTTCTGTAATACACAAAGTCACAAAAGGCAAAGGGACAGTAGGAGATGCTCTTCCACACCCATTCCCCATTGCCCACTGCGTGGTACGTGCCCATAGGCTGGAGCTCCTGAGAGACTGTCCAAGGTCTAATGCAGTCAGCATCATTTCAGTCTGAAAACTCCATCCAGTCAATCTGTCATAGGTCAGGATCTTCTCATCCCCTGCAGCCCATGGGGACTTGGAAATTGACATGATGTGTTACAGCTATAGTTTAAACAAACCCAGGCCCATTGTTTATTAAACTCATTAGCCCACACCTCTTTTTGCCTGGAACTCCTCCCCTTCCCAAGGATGCCCACAACATAATAGACATGCCTACTTGAAATGACTTTTTCTCATTTTAAACATTTTGACTTGTCCATACTGATTTAGTCTCATCTCAGTCTTATTTTGCTCATCTGTCATAGCATAAAATAATTCAAATCTATAGAATATCATTTATGATACTTTTTCCTATTCAGAAAATTGACGGAAAAGTCATTTCAAACAAAGGGAGAGGTGAAGATCTACTCTCATTTCTTTGATGTTTTTATAGCACCCAGCCCCCATCCAGCATTCAGAGACAGTTACATTAACTTGGGTTTACTTTCTAACCCATTTATACTAACTCTGCCAAAAAAAAAAATCCACTGCCTTCTCTTCCTTTTACTTTCAGTAAGTATCAGACAACTTTACCATACCTGAGTCCTTTGGTGTTGAAGTTATCATGGGAGAACCTTATGTCCATCACTCATTACTAAAAGCCAATTCTTCACTCAGCAAGGGTGTTACCAAAATCCCCTAGAGTTTTGAGTCTCTTCTCTAGAACATCTGAGATGAGGGTGCTAGAAAAACTGGGATGGAGTGGGGTAGAAGGCACTACTTTCTTTCCATACTCACAAATGATGGCTTTTTGTTCAAAACAGAAATAATCAAAGTCCAAACACAAAATACTTATTACAGCCACTCTAATCTCATTAGTGGTTTAAGACATATTCCTACAGTTTCCATTTTAAAAATCTCTTGACCTTTGTAAAATTCTGCAAGACAAAAAGGAAAACATAAACACCAAGGGACAGAAAAACTTGTCAACTCTTGCATGGAATTCTGTGATCCAAAATCAGGCCAGATTTCAATCAAAATCAGGTAAATTCCAGTAACAGTCAAGAGTCTTTGTAAGGTTTCTGTTCTGTTAACTCCAATCAGATATCAAAGGCTTCAAGGCTGCAGCTGAATCTCTGAAAGGCCTTGTACTTTCAGCTTTATGTTTTGCATCTTCTATTTCCTAGGACAGTGTTTCCCAAACTTGACTACACATTAGAAACACCTGGAGAGCTTTTCAAACCACCAATGCCAAGATCACATCTCATACCAATTACATCAGAGTATCTTGGGATCCAGCCTCACATCAGTTTTTTATAAAATATCCTTAGGTGATTCAAACTAAGTTTGGAAACTGCTGAATTCTTTGTATCTCCACTCTATCTTAATTTTTTTCTTTCTTATTTCACTTTCATTAAATAGAAAAACACAAGAAAAATTGTCTAAGTTAAAACAAACAGCCAGATCATATTTTTTCATATATCCATCTCATAAGAAGTATGAATGTGAATATAATTCATATTGGCTTCATACTAACTCTTGGGCCGAACTAATTCTAAATATGAAAAAGTGAAACATTCCTCCTCAAGGAGTTCTTAGGTCCAAATTTATACTCCCCCGCAGTCCTGCTTTTACACTCAAGGAGAGTGATTACAGTGGAGCAGGCAAATGTCTGCTTAGTCCAAAGAAGCATTCCAAATTCCAAGAACAAAAATGTTAATGTTCTTTAAAATCTTTGAAAATAAAGAAAAAAAGGTACTGTGCATATCTAGGGTATGCAAAATAGAAGGTATGATCCAGAGCAGTTTTAAATTTAATCAAATGAACAGACAATAAGCTAATACAGGGATCTCTTTACAAGAAAAAAATTATTATTATGGATTAAATCATAATCACTGTTTGAAAAGGTTAAGAGGAGAGACATAAGTATATAATACCAAAGTCTCAAGAAAATTACTACTGAAACATCATCTCATCACTTACTCAAGGAAAAACACGAATATTCATGACATTGACTTCCTGATGACTAGTTTTATTCAAGTAAGTAGCTGTAGTTTTTTGTTTCCTGAAATCTTACTTTAGTAAAATCTAGAGAATCTCATTTAGAACATAAATCATCGGAAGTATCAATGTGTTCACCGTGCCATATGTTTGCATTTCCTTTGCCCGAATTAAGTAATGTAGACCAAGTCCTGCTATGATGAATTGAAATCTTAAAAGTCAAGATTTTTTTTAAATCAAGTGTAGAACCAAAGGTTTATTTTGCATGATGTTTATATTTTTGGACTTCAGAAATTAACACTTATTTAATACATATCATACCTTGTGTATCAATATCTATTTTTTATTTCATACTTTATTGCTTAGTAGAAAAAACTCTTCATAGAAAAAAATTAAAATGAGTCAACACACCAAGAAGTGATAATATCAAAATACCCAAACCAATAATTTAGAAACATCTAGTAAATTAGAATTGGGTTTCTAAATTTGGATAATTAATAGTTTAGTGAGAATTAAAATCAGCCCAACATTACTCAGAAGGCATGAAACAGCAGTGGGATTAGATATCAGTGTTCTCACCTTTGCAACTGCTGCCTCTTCTTAAACTGCTCTATTTCTCTCCCACCCCATTAATGTAGCTAGAAGACCACCTTTAATTGCCACAAAATAGAATTCTCCTAGATGACTATCCACACCCATCTATTCCTGCCCAAACCTGGTATCATGCCAAACTACACTGTGTTCGGGTGACAGCACCCAAAATGCTGCTGGAAAGCTACCTCGTGTTAAGAAAACATTGACTTCAAAAACATCTAGCAAATGAGAACATATTTCCAAACCACAGGTCCTTAACTTTTTAATGGTGGATGGAAATTAAATTATAGCTATGCATTGATAATAGCTATGAAAGAAATTACTTTTAGTTTTACTTAAAAGCTTTTTTAAAACTCTTCCAATGGTGTAGATTAGCTTTTCAGAAATATTGCCACAATATAATTTTCAATTTACGTTAATTTTTGCTCTATTTCTAAATGACTATTTTATAGTTCTTTCTAGAGCAACCAGGCCACAATTTGAATCAATGGGGATAGGAAATTTTCCAGGGTGCCCTTGCAGAATGAGGGTCAATAAAGAAAATTAGGATTTTCAGTAAACTATCTTTGATTCAAAGCTACAAAGAGTCATAAAGTTTATTATTGTTCTGCAACTCCAGTCCTGTCCCAGATTTCCCAAAAATAAGTTAGGACTAAAAGTGAGCAATGAGCCTCAATATTTACACAAGGCCATGATCATGTACCACCCTCTCCTGTCACTCATATAGATTATTCCAGGGACTGAAATGTATCTACAATTTAATCTACTTGGTACTTTATATTTGTAGATACATTTTTATATACCATAGAGACATCTGTTAAAAAAAACTGCATTTCAGATATGACACTGTAAGTAAACTTTGTGATAAACACTTTTAAGAGAAAATATTAATAGCGTAATTTAGGAATGTTCATATACTTATGGAAAGAGAAAAACTAGGCAACAAACATTCCTACCTGACATACAACAGTTATCTACTGGGTTTGTTAAATTGATTGTCAAATCTGATGTTGAAATTTCACTTCATTCTAGTGACATTGTGAAAATGCTCTCAGGTTAATGAGAACATATCCATAGAAAGTGTAAGGTATCCACCAGGCTGTATGTCTGTTTTCACCAACGTGAGAACAAAGCAAAACAAGTCCTGCTATAATTAGTGAAACTATTAGGAAAACAAGATTTTTTTCCTGACTCGAATACCTTCTCTCTTTACTTACAGAGTAACACATTAAAAAAAATTGTTTTTACTCAATAAAAAAATGAGCACAGAATATTTTAAAAGCCAGCTCTTTCTTACAATGTTTATTCAGAATGCAGAATGCACAGGTTTAATAGGGACAGCAATATATACCTTGAACACACAGACTCATTAATGGGACACTGCAGACTTTATGCATCCCCACTTCCTCTGTTTTATAGGAATGGTAAAAGAAAATCTTATACTTTAGCTCATAGAAAAGAGAAATTCATAACCAATCTAGAAATGAAAATTAATTTGGAAACCAGAAGCTTCCATTCCTTCAAAAGTACCTAGAATAAAACAGAACACCTCCACATCTTCCTCTCCCTTGTGGACTTTTCTCCTATTTTGAGAGAGAAATCAAGAGAAGGAATATGCCCCATGTTCTCTTCACATATGTTACTTTGTCTGAGGGGAGGGGAGATACCAGGAAAGAGCTCTTGAAAGAAAGTAAGGCACCAGTAGGACGTTCTGGAGACTGAAAGGCATCAACGCCACTCACGGTTTAGCACCGTCTCTCTGGAGTCACAACACACCCTGCTCTGCCAGGACAGTGCTGGCTTATGTCTGTCATCCCACTATAAATATTAACAATCAATAATTAAAATGGACAGTTGCCCCCCTTACTCTCAAATGTGCCCCCGTTTAGACAACGAATTATACAGTGACCCCATCTTTATGGCTCTTTGCTGATGGCTCTTTGTTTTTTTCATGTTGCAGACTTGGCTTTATAGCTTAAAGTAAAGGGCCAGCCACTTCCTTCTGACTGGGGCAGGAGCATGGGCAGCAGAGAGGAATGCTGCATCTTCTCCTCTGAGGTGACCCCCCATCTACTGTCCTTTTCTGGTCCTAGTTGCCCTCCCACTGCCCCTGGGCTCTGGGTCCCGAGTCCTGCCTTCAGTAAACAAAGCTAGCAGCCTCTAAGCCAGACTGTGCAGAAGACAAGATGAAGGCTCGCTCTTGGGGACATGTACTTAGCCTGTCAAGATCCACAGGGCATTGTTCCGGTCTTAGAGCATTTATCTGCAGGTTCCTTTCTTCCTTGAACCAAGCCCTTTAAACCTCAAAGTAGAAAGGACCTCCTCTGTAAATCTGCACATTAAAAGACACTTGGCCTTTTTCCCTTCTTCTGTGTTTTACAAATTTTCTCAAACACTAACTCCTTTGCATTTAACTTCACCATGACGGTTGCTCATCAACTATTCTTTACCCCAGATCTTCATATAATCCCATACATTTTATTAATTTTAATGTAAAATTATGTTAACAGTTTCCTTTTTAACAGAAATTTCTTTTTCACTCTTCCTTCATTCTCTTTACAAATATTGAGAATTAAACAAACTTTACAGTCTCCATTGCTATTAACTCACAAAACTATTCTTCATAGAATGTGTGATCAGTCTGTGTTTACTATGTACCTACTCGTAGGCCAGAAACTGAATACAGATATATATGTATTTTTTCATTTCTTTCCTCAATGGGGTACACAGTCTAGTGATCCATTCTGCATGTTTTAAAACTGAATATAACTGCACATATTTAAGTGCATCAGCTGGTAGGTTTTGTCACTTAGTCAGAATTCTGAAAATGAATCATCTCTGTTCTAAACCTTGTTTCCACTATTACTGCCAAAAACTAGATTGGGACAGTAAGCCTTCTTAAAGATGAGTTTAACTCGATCTATTATTATTGATACTTGAGTAAAATAA